AAAACTGACCATTCAAAATAACGTTTTTTTGAATGGTCTCTAAAATATTTCAATTATTTTTAACCCCGAATAGTATTTAATACGACGGGATTTTCGTAGTTGGAACTTTCAAGGATTCTGGATCCGGGTTGAAACGAAGAAATTCAAGTGAGGAATTTCTCTGGGTTTTCAAAAAAATTCCAATGACATTTTTTGATTTTTATATGACAATAAACCTTCTTTGCAACGGAATAGAGAAGACATAATTTTTAAAGTAATACAATTTTCAAGGTAAATTCTCAATCTCAACGGTGCATATCATATAGTAGTGAAGCTCTCCCGAGTTTTTTTCCTCCCGAGCATCACTATCATATAGTGAGGTTTAAAAATTACATCCGAAGATAAACTATGTAGATACGCACAAATAAAACAGACCAAATTTATTAATAATATTCCATAACGGTTTCACATCGTGCCCACCATCACCATTTACAGATTTTAACATTAAATAAAATTCTGCCAAAATATTTATTCCTGTATTCCCAAAAAGTTTTACAGGTAATTTATTTAAATTATCCATAGTGGTATTGTAGTATAATCCAAACATTTTTTCTATTATCCTTCTCTTATCCTCTGTTATTTCAATTTTCATAATTTGATTTTGTTCATCTTCATTTTCCATATTTTTCAAAGTTTTTTTTAAAGAATTCTTTTCCTTTTCAAATATTTTATTAACAAAATTTTTTCTTTCAAATATTTTTTGCTCTAGCAATGTAATTGTGATTCTACTATATAACTCGTTATAATCTTCATCCGAAAGATCATCCAAAAGTAGCAGAACATAGCTTTTATCAAGGGTCTGGTTTTCTCTTATGACTTTAATTTTTTTATTAATAGTCGACCTTATTATAAAATAGTCGGGCCTTATTAATAGTCGGACCTTATTATTGCTGGAATTTTTGTAGATTTTTTCTATCGTTGGAAATAACTTTTTTGGAAAGTGGAAGTATAGTTATGTGGAGCACTGTAGTAAGATAAACTCATGGGCTGAAAGGTATCATAGTAGAGTATTATTTCGGGTGTAATGCTTATTGTTGGTCTGCTCCGCTACACTATTGTCATTCAAGTAGTATTGTACGTATTATAATTCAAGCAAAGCCTATTTTAAATTAAGATATGTCTAGTATTGGGTGTATCTTGTAATAAGGTCCGACTTATATACTATTCTTTAATAATACCCCCCCCCCCTCCCTTAAACTTTATACTCTTCAGTTTTTAATTGGTTGTGGATCAAGTAGAAAAAGCTATCTAAGCAATACCCCTTTTATTACCTTTCATTTAGGATACTTCATTATAAGCTGCGATTTTTTCAGTTTTTAGAGTTATCTAATAATTAGTTTCGACGATATTTCTAATTTCAAATTTGTGATATAAAAACATAAATAAAATATACTACTGGGGGTAGGGGGTATGAATAGAGGGATAAGAGTAAAAATAAGAAATTTTATTATTAGTAATTAATCAAAAAACATTACCGTATATGCTCGAATAATTACCCTCTCTCGAATAATTACCCTCTTTAATAATTTCCCCCTCATTTTTTTACACAAATCTTAAATATGTATATTGAAAAAATCAATGTCAATTTTAATTATTGAAACAGTTTACTACACAATATCAAAAAATAAATCGATTCCCTCCTTGATTTATTAAGATATACCCCAAATTTAGCACCTCCTCTCGAATAATTACCCACTCCAGCGAGAGGTCGAAACAATAATTACCCAGGGTAATTATTCGAGCATACATATACGGTAATTATTTTAATTTAAATTATTCTTCAAAAATAACCAAAAATATTTATTTAAAAATAAATTTTCAAATTTTATATTAAATCCTCACAATTTCTCGGTCCTTTTTGACACAAAAAAATATTTAATAAAATCGAATATAATATTAATTTAAATAATATTAACATTTTATTATTTAAATCTTTAAAAATTAATTTAAAAAAATAAAAATTGAGGAGCAGGTGAAGCTAGATTTTAAAGAAAAACAATTTTAAAAAATCGTATAGATTCGTATGATAGCAAAAATAAAAACAAAGAAACGACGTGGAAATAATAATTTTTCAAAATTAGAGAAAAATAAAAAAATTGATTTTTAATGTAAGATAAATTTTTTTAAATAAATTTAAAGTGAGTTTTGAAATTTAGAAAAAAAAAGTTTTGAACTTACCCTAAAACCTGTATTAATTGCCCTCCCTCAAATAATTACCCCACTTCCATTAATTACTCCATCCAGCGATAGATTGAAATAATAATTATCCCCCAAACAAATGCTTTAAAACACGTAAAATTTCAAACATCATACAATTACCCTTACTCAATTAATTACTCCCTCCAGTGGAAAGTCGAAACAATAATTACCCTGGGTAACCATTCAATGTTTTACGGTAACTTTACTTTACCTTAACTTTTTTTACTTTCCGACCTTGAATTTATAAACCTCCTTCGAGTTTATGGGGGTTCTTAAATAGGAGGTATCGCTTAGTCAGTTCCATTTTGAATTTTAAGAAACCGTATCTCAAAGGAATAAATTTTTTAGGTATTTTTCGACCGCGATATAAACAAATGAGTGCTGAGCTTTCATGTCAGATATCACAAAAACGGTGGTTTTTTTTATAAAATTCGGGTTCCTTGGTTTTTTGTCATTGGAACCGCAAATTTGACTTGAACCACATCCGTGTTTACCGAAAAATTAATTTTTAATTCATCTGGTTCCTTGAAAAGGAATTTAAAAAGATTGGTCAGTCACAGAAAGGTCTACTAGAAATGATGTAATTTTATTATTTAAAAACAAAAATTTGAAATAAAAAAATAAAAATCGGGGAATGATTAAAGCATTTAATTCAAAGGAAAAAATTTATTTATGAAATTTTAATTGTGAAATAATTATTGACATGTTTTTATTTTTAATATTTTCACGTGAATTTAAAAGAATCTTGTGAAAGCTTTCTTTGATGTAAAAGTGCAAATAAATAAATAAATAAATAAAATATTAATTAAAATTTTAATTTTTAATAAATTTTATTTAATTTTTAAATAAACAAACAAAGGTCCGTGAATGTAGAAGGGTTAATTTATCCTGAATGCTGAGTCCCCCAATTAAAAATTGTTTAGTTTAATTATGTAAGGATTTTATTATGGGCAGGGAATTGTGAAACAGCTTTTTTGCCTTAACAGCTATGGTCGCTGATAATAGGATAATCGCCATAACTGAAACTAGAAATCGCTGTACACATACTAAGGCTCGAACAAATGCGACTACTTCAATGATATATTCACCTTCACGTAAAACTAGGACCAAAAATTTCCGAAAGGTCCTGCCTGCAATGTATAAAATGTTCAATGTTATTGTTGACAAAGTCCGTTAGTTAGGGCATCTCACAATTTTGATTATAATTAAATACCGATTGCGTTGCAACGGAAATAATGAAGAATATTAAGATAAAATAATTTTACTAATAAGATAAAGTTTATGCAAGTATATGAGGTTAAAAAATAAATTTTTGGGATTATTTAATTTTTTCTTTATTTTCGCTGAAATAAATGATTTTATAAGAAAATGTTTTTAAATGCTTTATTAATATTTATGAGAATAATTCTGTTCTCGATTAACAGGAATTTCGCGATGGCCATATGAAGAGTCTGAATATGATGCTGCTAAAGGTCTTCCATTTTGTTGTTCCCTTCCAACTCTGTCTCGATAGACAGGAATATCAGTTTGTTGGTGAGGAGGAGGGAAAGAATTATTATAAGCATAGAAAGGCCTATGTTCTAAAGGTATTGGTGATGGTTGCTCGCTTATTGTATGTGGATGTTTCTGTTGTTTGGGATGAGGTCTTTAAAAAATAATTTAGAAAGTTTTGCATTCAATTTTAAGATTTTATTGTTCAAAAATCTCATAACGATCGAGCTTTTTCGAAATTTCGATCCCAAAATGGAATTTAAATCTAAATACCTATTTTGTTTTATCCCTCCAGGCGGCCAAAAAATGTCAAAACAACAAAATCTATATTTTCTATAATATTTTCTGTCAAAATATTCCTCATTTCTTCTTCCATCATACCAACGTTCATCTGCTGAACCTTTACTTTTTTGCCATTTTTTATCTTTCCTAATTAATATTTTTAAATAAAATCTGACCATACCCCAAAGAAGGGTCGAATCGTTTTTTTCATTAAATTTTATTTCTTTATAAAAATGGTCAATTTTCCTTAAAGTTGATGTATGTTGATGGATGCCTTAAGGAAAAATGGTGAAAGAGGTTAAAATTTTTATATTTTTGCTCGTCCGTGTTCCGTGCTTGTCCGTGTTCGTCCGTGTTAGTACACGGACGACTTTTTTGCCATTTTTTATGTCCGGACGAACACGGACGAGCGAGGACGAGCTCGGACGAACACGGTCAAGCATGGACGATCACGGGCGAGCACGGACAAACACGGGCGAACAACACGGCGAGCACGGACGAACACGGACGAGCACGGACAAACATGGACGAGCACGGACGAACACGGGCGAGCACGGACGAACACGGACAACACGGACGATCACGGACGAACACGGATGAGCACGGACGAACACGGTCGAGCACGGACGAACACGGATGAGCACGGACTAACACGGCGAGCACGGACGAACACGGACGTGCACGGACAAGCACCGAACACGGACGAGCAAAAATATAAAAATTTTAATCTCTTTCACCATTTTTCCTTAAGGCATCCATCAACATACATCAACTTTAAGGAAAATTGACCATTTTTACAAAGAAATAAAATGTAATGAAAAAAACGATTCGACTCTTCTTTCGGAGCTCATTATAAGAATGCCCTCAAAAGTTCGGCAGTTCCAAATATGTTCTTTAAAGTTGGGTTAGTTACTGGATTGGAGAAGGCCTTAGAATTCCTCCAAAAGATATACAAATATGTACTTTATAATGAGGCCCGATTGTACTTTTTAATAATACTTTTTATTTAGATAATTAATCCCATCGCCATGACCACCAACCCAGCCATTCGTATAATGTTCATAATTTTGGCGATGATAATGATGATCTCCCTCTCCTCTTTCGCGATGCTGTTTTTCTTGTTTTTGATGATATTGAATTGCTTTTCTAGCTTGCCTTTCTTCTGCCGAATTCCTTAATGTTCCCATTGTTGTATAAGACTTGAAAAAAAATTATTTAAGGTTAAAATTTATCAAAATTTTATAAAAACATCTGCAGCAGAACGATGCTGCTGTTTATCGCCTGAATGCCATTCCTTGTATTCTCGTTGATTTTGTTGATGTTTGGTGTGTTGAAAATGCTTCAATGCAGTTCCACCTTCACCATCAACCTAATCAAATAAAAATATTTTTTGTTTTGAGCTTAAAGTAGAGGTGAATTGTTCCGATTTCAGACAAGTTTGTCGTGAACTTTTGTAAAATTTCCTATTCCCAAACCTCTGAAAAGGATTAAAAGGGGAATCTTCTATAGTCACATAAAAAGGGAATGAGTTATTAATTAATATACATTTTGTTGAAAAGTTGAATACTCTGCAGCTGTTGCAGTTCCATTTGGATAATTTATAGTATAAGAAGTAGCTAAAGTTTTGGGTTCTTGAATTGCTTCATTTTTATATTTTTCCCTCCAAATATCAAAAGTTGTCTAAAAAATAAATTTGAAATCTTTAATAAATATTTGAATTACATTTTTAGATACTTCTTTGGGCGAAAAATTGCTTCTTATAATGAGGGCAACTCTAATGATTGGAAATATAGTTGCCTGATACTGATATAAAAGAATTTCCCAAGATCCGCCACCCTAATCGAGAAATATCGCCCATAAAGCTCCCCACTCATTGTCCGTCTAAATTTAAAAAAGGCCCTTAAATTAAATGGGAAATGTATCGTAGTGCGGTTATCTAAAAATTTGGGTTGATTGTATTAAAAAATAATATTCAAAAAATTAATTAGAAAATGTAAAGATAAATTAAGTATTTCTTTGACTATTTATTTGAATTAATTACCAAAGGACGGTCATAATTTTGTTGTTGCCTTTTATCATAAGTTGAATACCGATCAAAATTAAAATTCCCTCCATAAGATTGTAGTTGTTTACCTACATTTCCATAAATATCGTCAATTCCCTCTCTTTTCAATTCACTTCTTAATTCTGAATGGAATCTTCTAGCAGGCAAGGTTGCTTCACGACGAATTGGGACAACTGTTATACCTCCTATAAGAATTTTTAAAGCAATTTTATACATAGCTTTAGTCATTGTTAAATTTTGAATAATCTCTTGAAAATATTGTTAGCTATAAAAGTAGGATATCCAAAACCGAAGAGATTCCTGATATCAGAAGATTTTCCAAGAACCGTCAACCTTAATATAGACTCGTCCTTCAAAACAGTTTCAAACTTTCGAATTATAGTAGACTTTTTTGACGGATATGTTAAGACTTAGGGCTTTAGCGTCCCAAAGATCATAGGGTCTGGAATTAGGGGTTCAGGACGGATTGGGGATTTCAGAAATCCTCTGGGTCCGTGAAATGGATTTTTAACTTTATCGGCTTGATTAAATGAATCGAAATCTAGGAGAAATCTAATTGATTAAAAATACGTAATTACTAAAATTTAAAAGTGCGAAATCCAAAATTTAATAACCCAAATAATAAATTTTAATAATTTACATTAATTATTATCAATGTTATTATTAATTATTATTAATTATTATTAATGCCATTTACCTAATATTTAATAATATTTATTACAAAAATAAATTAATTATTACCAATTCTCTCAGCAGAACTACTTCTGTAATATCTATCACCAACACTTGCAGCTCTTATTTTATTTTTTATAATGTCGTCACCAAATAATTCTCCAGTATAATATTCCTTTTTAGGTCTATAAATAGCTCTGTCAGCCGCAGTTAAGGGTAAATGGCGCTGATCTTCCATCGATCGAGAAAGAATTCCGCCAGTATGTGATATAATTCTTGAAGAATAATAACCAGATGGTGGGGAAACGGAGAAATAATCACCTCCTCTATTACGCGACATTTCTATGTAATATTAGTTGTTGATAATTGGCAAGTTTAAGTAATTTTATAGAAAAATTTAAAGAAAAAATCTCTGAGAAAATTCAAAATTTATTTATATTATTTTATTCGAGCAAATCACTGGCAGTTTTATGCATTTACATAGGTAAAATAATAAAATTTTGAGAACCACTGGGCTTTGTTTAAGCTTATCGAATCCAGGACACCCTAGGATTCGAACTTTACTGGAGTGGCCGGGTATATTGGGATTGTGATTCCTTGGCATACTTTCTAGATAATCTAGCTGTGTTTTATGGGTACAAAACTTTTGGCACGGTTTTCATGTGTTTTAAAAAATTTTCAGTTTCTGGTTTATAAAACTAGATAAAAAATCAACGGAAAATGGATGTAACGATTCAAGGAGAATTCCATGTTTGTTATATGTATTAGCTATTACAGGCTGTTTAAGCTAAATTTTTATTTGATACGAAAGGGGGTTTCCGAATTCTTTGGAATTTCGTCTCCAAATTTTCGGAATTTTCGTCTCCAGCGGAATATTTGTCCGAAAAATCTTGGAGACGAAAGTTCCAACGACGAAAATTCCGGTACCCACGGATAATGGGGTTTCTGGAATAATTTTTTGATATAGGTATGAAATCGTTAAATCCAAGAATCTAAACAAAATTAACAAAAAATTGAACAATTTTTTCGTAGAATTAAGAGATTTATTTTCAAAATTTTAGCTAATTAATTTAATTTGTAAATTAATAAAACGCTTAATTATGTTATAGCAAATGTTAGGCAATTTTTCACAATTAATCAAAGCGTAAATATTTTCGAATGAATAGGCAAAGGACGTTGTTCTGAAAACTTTTATGGATATTTTCTTTCCTAAAAACATTAAATGAAGTGGAGAGGGGGTACTTCCGCTTAATTTTAGCACATTTTTGTTCATTTTTGTTTTCAGTCTATAAGGAAAGAAACTGATTGATTAACACTATATTTAATAGTTTTAATCAAAAAGAGAGAGAGAAACCATGCAACAGCTCTGCGCAATATTTTTTTGAATGTAAAAACCATTATTTTCTTCGCTCATTCATTTAACCTCTCGTAAAACTGCCCCGTTTCTCACCACAAATAAATCAGAAAGAAATTGAAGAAAGATGGGAACTTTTGCGAATAAAAATTTTTGTCCGCAATTTTTGCGGACAAAAATTGCGGACAAAATTTTCTGAAGAAAAATTTGCGGAAATATGTTTGCGGACCTTATTTTCAATTTGCATAATTTTTCGAATTTGTATATTTTATCCGCAAATATAAATCCGCAAATTTTTTGCGTATAGAAGACAAAAACATTCTCTTTTTCTAATTGATGAGATTGTTGTTTAAATAAAAAAATGGTTTGAAAGAATTTTACGAAACAAATCAAGTGTGTCTGGGCAAATTGTTTTTGTTATTGTGGGAGACAAGAAAGAAAAATATTTTTAAATTCTTCAATAGTATTTTAAAATGAAAAATAAAATTTAAAAAATAAAAAATATTTTTACAGACAAAATTTTTAACAAAAGTTACCGTAAATGCTCTAATTAAAGCACATGTGCTTCTATTTTTCGATCCCCTCGTAGGGTGTGCTTCTATTAGAGACTGTGCTTCAAATAGAGACTGTGCCTTTATTTTTCGATCTATTTTTGAAATTTTTAGAGAAAATTTTATACCACACATAAAACAAAACAAAAATTAAATTTCAATAGAATTATCGCTGTCAATTCCATTTTCATTATCCTCATTGAGAAACCCACTTGTATGACATCAAGGGATCAAAAAGGATATGGTGGATTGGAGGGATATCGAGGTTTTAAGTGATTAAGTAGGATATCAGTGGATATCAAGTGATTTAGAGGGACTAGGAAGGATATTGTGGATTTGGGCGGTTGGTAGGAATATTAAGAGAATTATAATAAGTTTTCAGTGGGAATTCTCAAAATATCTCTTCGAAAAATATCTTCGATATCCGTCCAAATCCTCGGATTTGGACTGTGCTTCAAATGGAGCCTGTGCTTTAATTTCACCTGATATCCCTCTTAATTCCCAAAATCCCACCCTCCCCAATCTCTCGATATCTCCTTGAATCTTTTATATACTTGTTAATGCCCTAAATTCCCTCTTAATCACCTAATCACTCTATATTAGAGATCGGACAAACCGCAAAATCAAATATCAAATCAAACTATTTGATATTTGAAAGTATTTGAAAAAATTTGATTTTCTTCAAAACTCATCAAACAAATATTTGATCAAATAAAATCAAATAAAATTTGATCAAATATTTGATTTTCCAACGTCAAATATTTGTTTGGTCCGATCTCTACTCTATATCCATCAATGGGGATCAGTTGAGGTATATAAATGGGGGAATGTAACTTTTTTAAGAAAAATGTAACTTTTTTAGTGTATACTAGGGGGTGTGCTTCTATTAGAGACTGTGCTTCAATTAGTGACTGTGCCTTTATTTTTCGATCCCCTCGTAGGGTGTGCTTCTATTAGAGACTGTGCTTCAAATGGAGCTTGTGCTTTAATTAGAGCATTTACGGTAGTTTGTGTCCAAGGTTTTATTTATCCCAAAATCACCTTAAAAAGCAGGAACGTGCAGGTTGACTAGGGATATAGAATTGGATCCAATCCATTAATCATTTTTATACAAAAATTCCTTTTTTTGATTAAACTATAACAAAAGGACAAATTGTGAGGAGTTTAAGATAAATAAAAGAGTTAAATTAAGTTAATGTCTATGTAGAATTTAAAAACTAAACTTTTACTAAAATTCTAAAAATTAAATCAAAAATTGAAAAAAAAATTAAATGATAAATATAGTATTGTGAGTTAAAGCCTGAGAATTAACACCTATTAGCAGTGTCCGTAACCAAAATTAAAAACAACACTTGAATACTTCTCCAGCTTCTACTGAAGTCCGTAAATAATTTTTAATAAATAAAAATTTAATTAAATTAAATATTTTATTTATTTATTTGCACTCTTACATCAAAGAGAGATTCCACATGATTCCTTTTAAATTCACGTGAAAATATGAAAAATAAAAATAAGTCAATAATTATTTCACAATTAAAATTTCACAAGAAATTTTTTTCCTTTGAATTACTTGCTTTAATCATTCACCGATTTTTATTTTTTATTTAAAATTTTTAGATTTGTAAATAATAAAATGCTTTAGTTTCTAGAGGTTTATCCATTTCTGAGCAGGCCAGTCTAGTTAGTTCGGTGATTTTTTTGATTCCAAAGTAGAGATCTAGTTTTTTGAAAAGCCTGGACCTGTTCCTGACTCTGGGTTTGATTTATTGACCTGGGCTGGATCCTGGGCCTGTAGAACAGGAAAACCCAGGCCCAGAAAAAACCCAGGAAGGTCAAAAAATGCCTGGACCAGGACTCTGGGTATAGGAAAACCCCAGGCCTTGGCCTTGGTCTAGCTCGATCTCTATTTCATACCGATAATTTAAAATTCTTGTCCAAGCCAAACTACTGTTCCCATGAAATAATCGAAAACTTAAAGCCAAAAAACCAAAATTTTATAAAATTTTGTCTCAACGACCCCCCCTCCCCCACTAAATGATGTTCTATATTTTGAGATATGATTTTTACAAAAAAGAGCTTATGGGACGTATAAAGTTCATGGGACGCATGTCCTATAGTTGAGCCAATTCTTCCGGCCAGGTAGGGGTTTATAAATTCGAGGTCTGAGTGTATAATTACTTTTATATTCAAAATTAATAAAATATAAAAATTTTAAATAAAATATAAAAATTTTTAGTGTCTACCCTCTAAATAAAATCTATTTTTTATTTTTCTCTAATTTAAAAAATTTATTAATTCCACGTTTTATTTTTGTTTTTATTTTTATATTCTTAAGAAAATATTTTTTTAATTGCTTCACCTGCTCTTCAATTTTTATTTATTTAAAAGAATTTTTATGTGTTTTTAATAATAAAATGTTAATATTATTTAAATTAATATTATATTTTATTTTATTTAACATTTTTTTGTGCCAAAAAGGACCGCTAAATTGTGAGGATTTAATTTGAAAAATTTAAAAATTTATTTTTGATTAAATATTTTTGCTTATTTTTGAAAGTTGATGTAATTCTTTCAGTTTATTCATTCTTTCAATTCATTTCTTTCCTCTAATTTTGTTTTTATAAGACAACTTTAAATTTAGAAATATGTTC